GCCAACAAGTTTAAGATTCCTTCTCTACTCACAGAGAATCAAATGAAGGTCTTACTTTTCTTATGTAAAAACCTAACATCTCATGAGGTCCTCTGTTGATTTGGAAACAAGGACAGGCTTCCATTATAGTCTTTAATTGCTAAGGGAAAAATAGGACAGTCCATTATTTCTTATTGGAACTATTGTTCTTGAGGTTCCCTGTCCCCAGACCCTGAGTTTCTTTTAAGTCTACAGTATCCTAACAGTAAAATCCACATTTCTTATTGGAACTGTTTTTCTTTTTTCTTTTTTTTTTTTTTTTTTGGTGACACTCAGGGCCTCATGCTCGCTAGGCATATTCTACCATTTGAGCCACTCCATAGTGGAAGTGTTTTTCCTGTTTGAGGTTTTTTTTTTTTTTTTCCTCCAGATCTTGAATTCCTTGTAAATCTATAGTGACCCAAGTACAGTATTGGGAACATTGTTTCTGAGGCCATTCTCTGATGAGAAAATTCAGTTCCTACTGGGGAAGGTTACTTGAGCCCCAGCCTAGTCAGCCTAACACAGTACCTATCACCTAGAAAAATAAACCAACATCCAAGTACCCATCTTGGGTCAAAGGAAAAGAGTTATTTATGCTTTTATAAAAAATGAACCTACATAATGTAAACCACCAAAAAGTTGGATGATGCTACATAACACATTTTGCTGCTTTTTCCTAGGAGAATGGATTTACATGGAAAGTTTGCTCATTTCCCTCCTCAACTCCTCTATGTCCAAAGTCGGAGGCAGGGTCTGTTACATTTTCTTAACTGAAAAGCCACAAATGCCACTTTTCTTTCAGCTTTAGCCACACAAAAAATTAAAGTCTCACGTGCTATATATGACTAGGATAGAAAAGTTATAATACAGCAACCTTTCATCTTAGGGAGTGGACAGGGTTCTGTCACTATACTCAAAACTGTGTTTTCTTTCTTTTTGTTTAAATTTATTTTTTCTTTTCTGTTTTTAATTTTGGATACAGGGTCCCACTATGTAGCTCAGGCTGGCCTTGAACTCATGTGGTCCTGCCTCCACCTTCCCAGTGATGGGATTACAGGTGTGCACCACCATGCCTGTGGTGTTTCTATTTCTACTCTGGATGAAGTACTGGCTTTCATTTGCAGGGTTCGCAACTGTACAATCAAAATGAGAAACACTTAAAAATACCACATGTCCACAGCCTTCTGAAAAAGTCAGCACCAGCTTTCTTCTACAAGAGAAAAATGCCTCCTTTCAAATTCCTCCAAAAATGTTGATTTACACGTGTAAAAACGTGTTACCTGTACAGAAACTGATGGTTTATTCTCATATGAAGTCAACCTTAGGCATCTTCTCTTTATGCTTCTTTATCACATCAATGGTTTAACTGCAAAATTGGACCTTTGTTCTTGTTCAGTAAGTCTATGTCACAGGATTTAGAAATATGTAACTTTTATTTTTTTTAGTTTTATTTTTCTAGTAATTCCTTTTAGTCACATTTTACCAAAGAATTCAAGAAATATGTAACTTTTAAACATCTCTTTCTTTTATTTCAAATTATTAGGAATATTTGGAATTTACAGTTGTAGTCTCAACTATGCTTATCATAAAAGTTGCTAAAACTGGAAGACATTTTTAACCCCCCGCCCAAAGTTATCCATATTCTCTAGTTAGTCTTAATTTTGCAACAAAAGGGAAAGAATTCATATGTACCATGATTTAAGCATCTGTTTCAAATTAAACCTCATCTTTCCACTTGTAAAATAACTTCTTTATAATTGATCATATTGCAGCAGATGACCCATATCAGTTGCTTTTCTCTTCCAGGAGAAGTCAGCAGGGGGCATCCTAAGGACTTCTTTGTGTTGAATTTGACAGGTAGAAAAAAGCAAAACAGCCTTTTCAGTTCTCAACCATGGAGGTAATGTGTAGAAAGATATCCATGTATCAGTAGGGAAAGTGGCTGGATAAAAGAAGCAGGACTACCCGCTTGAGAAGACAGCATGGAAATTCTTGCCAAGTCTACAAAAACGAAGACCAGTGGAGTAGAATAAAAGACCCAGACATAAACCCATGCAGCTACAGTATTCTGACTTTTGACAAAGAAGCCCAAAACATATATTGGAGAGAGGGCAGCCTCTTCAATAAATGGTGCTGGGAAAACTGGATATCTGCATGCAGAAAACTGAAACTAGATCCATGTCTCTTACCCTGTACTAGTATCAATTCAAAGTGGATCAAACATCTTAATGTAAAGCCTGAAACTTTGAAACTGCTACAGGAAGGAATAGGGAAAACACTGGACCACTTAAGTATAGGCTTCCTGGATAGTTCAGCAATTAAGAGAGAAGATTGACAAATGGGCCTACGTGAAACTGAAAAGCTTCTGCACAGTGTGATTGGTCCCCAGACTGAAGTCCACAGAATGGGAGGAAAATCTTTGCCAGCTATACATCTAACAAGGGATTAATAGCCAGAATTTACAAGGGAGCTCAAGAAACTAAACTCTCAAAGAATCATGACCTAATGAAGAAATGGGCAAATAAAGAGAATAGAGCTTTTTCAAAGGACGAAGTCCACGTGGCCAAAAAACATGAAGAATTTCTCAACATCCCTGGCTGTAAGGGAAATGCAAATCAAAACTACATTAAGATTTTACCGCAGTCAGAAGGGCTATTGTCAAGAATACATACAAGAACCAATGTTGGAGAAAAGGAGAAAGGTACCCTTATACAGTGTTGGTAGGAGAGTAAATTAGTACAACCACTATGGAAAGCAGTATGGAGATTGCTCAAAAACTAAAGAAAACCTTCCAGTTGATCCAGTCATACCACTCGTGGGCATATATCTGAAGGAATTTAAGTCAGGAGACAACAGAGCCACTTGCACACCCATGTTTATTGTGCATTATTCACAGTAGCCAAGTGATGGAAACAGTCCAGATGGCCAACAGCTGATGAGTGGGTCAAGGAAATGTGGTGTGTGTGCACGCTGGCACATTGCTCCTTTTCTTTCTTGATTATGTACTTTGGTGTGGAATTTCTGGGCATCTGTTTAACTTTTTTTTTCCCCTTTTGGCTGTATTGGGGTTTGAACTCAGGGCCTTGCACTTGCTGGGCAGGTGCACTACTGCTTGAGTCACACCCCCAGCCAATACATTTTTTTTAAGTAGATCTAGGATTTTAACTCAGGGCCTCACACTGGCTAGGTAGGCACTCTTACCACTTGACTCACACTCCCAGACCTCCAAGGGTTTCTGTGGACATGCTTTTTTCCCCTTGGTTGTATACTTTGGTCTGGAATATCTGGGGCATATGACTCCGTGTTTAACTGTTTTTTTGTTGTTTGTTTTTTGAGAAGGGTGTCAAAACATATCCCAGGCTGGCCTTGAACCTGTGATCCTTCTGCCTCCTAAGTGCTGGGATTACAGGCATGAACCACCACACCTGGCTGTGTTTAACCTTCTGAGGGGCTACCCAACTGTTTTCAAAGCAGCCATGTACCATTTTACATTCCTACTGGCGGTATATAGTCTCATCCTCATCAACACTAATATTGTCAGACTTTAATTGTAATCATTTTAGTATGTATGTTGTCTCATTATGGTTTTGATTTGCATGACTGATGATATTGATCATTGTTTCAAGTACTCTGCTCATTGGCTGTTTGCATTTTGGAGAACTGGCTGTTTCAGTTCCCTCCCTCCCTTTCTAGCTCTCATGTTTTTGAAGGGAGTGTGGGTGTTTTACTACATAATTACATATATCAAGTCTAGTGTTTGAACATAATCATATCTTTGATGTACCTACCATTAGAAGAGTCTACTCTCTTGCCATATTTAAAAGTTCTACCAGTGAACATTCCTCTTGTCTTTCTGCTAGTAGAAATGAAAGTACAAATGTGTGGAAGAAGGGGATGGGTATCTTTTATGTAGCTATGTTGAGCACTTTAGAAATGACATGTGCATCTATATCTCCTCCCATTTAAAGTTCCTTTGAAAACATAGGTCTTCTTTCTTTCTTTCATCTTTCTTACTCTTCCAGTCATTTGACAGGACTTGGGAATTTTGGTATTCAAGATCTATTGCCTGAATGATTGAACGAGTCAAGTAAATCATAAATGAGTTCTCATGTGGTCCAACATTTTACTAATTTACGGAGTTTGCATACTTTTTATCGGCTAGTGTCCTTGCCCTCAAGGATCTTAATTTAGTTGTTTAATGTGAAGATGAAACAGATACTCATCATGACACACTTTTAAAAAATAAGATTAAGTACAGTCATAAGTAACATGGGAAGTAAACTGCCCAAATAACCTAAATATATACATTGATAATTCTGTATTAGGACTCCATAACATAATCCAGGCTGATAGAGGAAGTCTTGAACAGAGGTAGAATTTCATCTAGATTTGACACCCTGTCTCAAAAAATCCCCCCAAAATAAAAAATAAAAGAACTGAGGGCAAACATTTTGATGAACTAAACCTTTCCAGGTCAAGAGGCAGTTCTCAACAGGCAGTATCACCTTTCTGACCAGGGGACATGTGGAAATGTATGGAAGTTTTTGGTTGTTTTAGTGTTTAGCTTTCAGTAAGTTGGGCACTGGGGCTGCTGAAGTCACACAGTGTAAGGTTAGCAATTGTTCTCCTCTTGTGGTACTGGAAATTGAACCCAGGACCTTGTGCTTGCTAGGCAAGTGCCATACTACCTAAGCCACGCCCTTAACCCTAGGAATTGTTCTCCAAATTTCAGTAGTACTCTGGTTGAGATGTACTGGGAAGGAAAGATTTATCTGCACAAGGAAGAAGGTGGTGTTTTTGTATAATATTTTTAAGCAAATACTATTCTTTGTTTTTGTTTATGCCATTATAGAGATGTATGTAGTTAGGTGGGATAGAATACAACAACAGAATACTTTGGGAACTGGGGCTGAAATTTATATTTGGGCGTTTTTGATAATTCTTAATATTTTCTATTTCTTTTCTTTTCTTTGACTTAGAACGAGCCTCTGACCCCAGGTTATCATGGATTCCCAGCACGGGACAGCCAGGTTGGTGCCTGCTGTTTATAACTCGGGGTGTGTGTGTGTGTGTGTGTGTGTGTGTGTGTGTGTGTGTTTAAAGAATGCATTAAGAGACACATGGTAACATTTCCTGAAATTACTTATTTTGGAAGATAACACAGTTTGAACAGTGAGTTTGCTTTTAAAGAGATAAATGAAAATATATTTCTTAATCCTGTATTGTAATCATGTTATTAATGTGGATATTATAGGAAAAAAATAATCACTTAGTGCAGTAATGATTGCTTCTGGTGTTTCTTTTCCAGGCTGTGTAATAACTTTTTAACCTGTTTTTTTGATGCCTCATAGTTGTAAGTGCTGGACTTGTCTTTTTAATTTTCTGTCACTTAACCTCTGCCTGCTCAGATGTTTTTTCTTGAGTCTTTGCAATAATCTGAAGCAAGAAAATTCCATTCTCCTCCCTGGGGGATTTTTTCAGCCTTATGGTTTTAATCAGAGAAGTCTTGCTTGAAATAGTGAAGTTCTGCCTTCCTTTGTTAGATGGAGGCTTACTAGAAAAAGGCTAGGCCCTATTGTTGGTCAGAGCAGAACTGCTTTCTATAAGACATCTTCAGTACAGTTTAGGCAAGTGGGTAAAATGTCTTCCATGTCTTTTTGCTATCTGAGTGCTTGAGCAGATGAGGCTGAAACAGAGTTAGGATAAAAGAACCAGGTACAACTACCTCTTAGAGGAGTCACCTAGCCTCTGGCTGCATTTATTTCCTTGATGTTTGGGGATATTAACATTTTTCAGATTTGAAAGGGTAGGTACTGGAAATATCTTTGACTATCTATGATTCCTTATAGGGTTGTCAAAAGAAGCTACTGTTGTTAGGTTTGTCTAAGTGACCTGAGCCCTCATAGTGCTAAATGAAAGGGTCAGTAGTATTCCCCTTTCCAGAGTTAATTGAATTTCATCAGAGATCCTGAAGCTGATCTTAAAAGCTAGGATAATCACTAATCACCTATTTGGAGGTCTTCCACATTTGAAAGTATTTACCCAGTTCTTGCATTTTTGATGCTAGGTTGGCGTAAGAGTGGTCCCAGGTGTAGGGTATGGAGAGAAAGCACAAGGAATGTGTTCATCTACCAGTGGGATCATTGCTGTTGAAACTGAAGCTGGAAGCTTTCACTGAAAGATAAGATTGTTTACCCCAAATCTGAAGAGAATACAGAAGTTTTGTTTGTTTTTCTTTCTGCTGTGGTTATTCCTTAGTTTGTGTAAGCATGAACTTTAGGCCCTTTTATGGTAGTTCTATATCCTGGCCATACATCAGAAAAAATATTGCTGCCTGGAGATTCAGCTCCCAGAGATTCTGATGGAGTAGGTTGAAGGTTGGGCTTAGCCCTTCAGATATTTAGAAATCCCTATACGTGACTCTGCCATGCAGCAGAGGCTGAGAACTGTGGTCCTGTGGGCTGCTTTAAAAGAAGTGACGTTTTCTGTTTCATCTTGTGCTTTTCACCTAGGACACACTGCTGAATAAGGCATCATGGTCAGTCTCTTAATCTAGTTCTATGTACTAATGCATGTATTTCATTATTTATAAAACGTCTTTTATTTGGGAATAGGAAGGTTAGTTAATTGAGGTAAAGTGTGGAAAGGCTATTTTTAAAAGAATCTGAAAGGGATACTGTCTAATGCTGTGTTCTTCCTGTGAGTATTGCAGATCAATTAGGCGCTCAGCAAAAGGAGTTAATAGAAATTTGTTAAGGCACAAAAAGTAGTCCTTTTGCTTAAAACTACTTCCGTTTTCTTTTCTTCTGCAGCAGTGACCTATTTGTGGAACCTGTACATTCATTACTCATACTGTCTCTGCTATAGGCCTGTGTAGACTCTTTGCCATGGTTGAAAGCTGCTAATTTACTTTGAGGCATATTCCGATGGTGACAGGTTTATTTCAGTGTATTTCTTGTGCTTTATTTTATACTCTGGCTGGATCTTTGAATTAGGGATCTTAGAGTAGTGCAAATAGGCAAATATTGAATAGCTGTGTATTGTATTTGACGAATACAAAACCCAAGTGAGTACTGCTAATTAATGCACCTAACCTTGTGAACTCTCACTTTGTGCTTTGAGATTTGGGAGGCATTTATCAGTGAGAAACACTGGTTACTGAGTAGCCTGAGCTAGGCAGGAACTGAATTTGGGATCTTTATATCTTCCTCTTGTGGATTTGTCTCAGCAAATCCAGGAGCCAGGGAGTTAGATGAAGGTGAATTTTAATTTTGTGTCTTTATTTGCTCACCTTACTTATTTATTTATTTTGTTCTTTTTTTAAATAGTTAAGAACCATTTCCACATAGGATTTTTATCAGCATCTACAGGTAGTTTTAAAAGAAGTTATAATCTTTTGGTTATTGCAAACTTTCATTGATATTTTCTCATCTTATTCTCCCAGTGACCTTTTGAAGTAGATGAGGCATGTGTTCTCTTTGAAAAGGGAAGGAAATTTAGGCACACAAAGTTAAAATGACTTCTTCAGGACAACACAGTTAGTGGCTTAATAAGTTTAAATTAGTAGCTGAATAAGAACTTAAACTTGCCTTCTATTTGAAATCCTTTCCTTCATACAGGTTATTATTGACTCACCCCCAAGAATGTGCTCACTTACTTATTTGCCCACTCACTCACATTATTTCATTTAATGGGGGATTCCTAGACTTCTTGAAGCACAACCTAGATTTAGGAGTTCAAGACCACTGGTTAAGAACTATTACAGCTATGCCTGGTGGAGTGGCTCAAGTAGTAGAGTGCCTGCCTAGCAAGTGTGAGGCACTGAGTTCAAACCCAGTGCTGCCAAAAATAAAAGGTACAAGAATTATTACATCTAAGTTCCTTAGCACCAATGATCACATTTCACTGTTTTCAGTGATTTTTTAATTGTGTTGCAAAAGCCCCCAGTAGCATAGTTGAATTAAAAGAGGGGGTAAAAAACCCACCCAACACTTTGTAGAAATTTTGCTTTTTTTTAATGCAAGATTCCTTAGCAGTTAAGAAGCTTTAGGGGATAGCAATCCATTGTTTTCACAACACAACCAAGCACTTCTCTGTGTTTGCTAATGTGGTCTTTATGGAAGTGGAGGAGACAAACATTGTTCCAGTTTTACTGAGGTGGGAACAAGCTCAGAAAAGCTAAATATTTTATCTAAAGCCAGGCAGGATTTTAGGCTGATGATACAGTGTAATGGTTTAGATTTCTAGTTAACTATTTCTTTGTTATTTTCATGCATTTGCTTATGAATGTTTCCAAGTGTTAAATAAGGCTAGAGTATTTTGTAGGTTTGAATTATTTTTGAAGTGAGAGAATACTTGTGTGCATCAGTTTCAGAGTTATCTAGTGAGAAAATAGCAGCAATCTGATTAAAAGAAGGCTCAATTCTGCATAGCAGGCCTACTGGTTTTGCTAACAGTATTTATTTGGAATGGATTTTAGGGGATGCCTGGAAATTGCAGAGGATGTCTAAAGCTGGCCCCTTGTCAACTTTTGATGCCACAACTTACGTCTGCTATTTTTTTTTTCCTCATTTGTGAGGGCCTTGTGCTTGCTAGACAAGCACAGTACCACTTGAACCACTCCCCAGCCTAATACCTTATATATCTGTCTGTCTGTCTATCTAGTTAGTTAGTGGTACCTCTTGACCAGTGTCTGCTACTATTAAGGGACAATATAAATTTATCATTCATGTTGGGGTACTTTTCAGAGTGGAAAGAGATACTAGTAATTATGTTGAAATAGTCTCAGGCCAACCTGGAAGCATGGGATATATGGTCATTCTGGCTGTAAAGAAATAGAGTCAGTTTTCTCTTAAATGGTGTGATCAGGACTAGTATACCACCAAAGGTGGTTAATCTAAACCTTTGGTTGAAGTGGGGAAATAAATCAAAACTTTTAACTTGGAGTGTTTTATTTTAATTTAAGCAAATGCATGTTTATTATTTGGTCTTTTGCTAGATGTCAATCTCTTTTACATGCATATAGATACACTGATTGAAATACTAGATTTTTTTCCCTGATTACCTGTCCTCACAGAGCATATCTATGAATGAGTTCCAGGTTTTGTTTTGTTTTAAAGAGGAACAAGGACATTTTTTGTTTATCCCTTCTTGCCAGTCTTCCCCACATCTAATTTGTTTGAGCAAAAATTTTTAGTGTCTTTACTTATTAAGTGTTCACAGCATTCATATTTGAGTCATTTTTAAGGAAACAACTTTTATTTCATTGGTTTATATAGCATTTAATTATATAATTATAAAATTTCTGTAAGCAGGTTAGTAAGTAAACACAGTTATTCTTGGTAAGCATACAACTCAGCTGCTGTGAGAGGAAGGGTGTAGATGGGTAAGAGATAGTTGGCGACTAGTTTTAGGTTGTAAGAATACTAAAGACAGCCGGGTACCAGTGGTTTATGCCTGTAATCAATCCTAACTACTTGGGAGGCTGAAATTGAGAGGATTGAGACCACCCCAGGCAAAAAAAGTTGGCGAGACCCCATTTTAATGGAAAACAGTTAGGAACAGTGGGGTGCATCTATCATCCATCATCCAGCAATGGGGTGGGGGAGCGGGCTTAAATAGTACCATTGTGGTCTGGGCCCACCTAGGCTTTTGGAGACCCTGTCTCCAAAATAACCAGAGCAAAAAGAATTGGAGGTATGTCTCAAGTGGTAGAGTACCTACTTAGCAAGTGGGAAGCCCTGGGTTCAAACTCCAGTACCATCAAAAAATGAATGAATGAATAAATGAATAAATAAATAAAGAAAGAAAGTCAGAGACATTCCCTCAGTGTATTTGATCTAGGAAATGGCGAACATTAACTTATTTAATAAGTTAGTTGATTAAAAGCACTCTGTAATAAACTGTAGGGAAGACTTAATTTGTTGTCAGCAATTTTGGATCTCAGTAGTGGTTATGTGGCTGAATTTTGTTTTTGGAATCAAGTCAGTTTGGAGGATTGTAAGGGAGGAGGATTAGAAACAGATAAATA